TTTTACTTACCTAACCTGTTACTTCACACTATTGTTAGAATCAATTTTATAAAGGTAAAATTTTAATCTAGCAATATGGTTTAATTCAAAAAAGTCAGAAGGTTTATAGAGGTAATATTCCTACTTCAAACAGAATTTTGCTGGGTTTTAATTTTCCATAGAGCACTGAAATAAATAAATTTTTAAGCTTTGTTTTAAAGGTTTCAAGTATTCTACAATACAAATTTTAGACACCACCGGATTCTTTAAACACACACACACACACACACACACACACACACACACACACTTATTTTAAGTTTTGTTTTACTCCATGGTAGAAAGTATTAAAAACTGGTCTTTTTTTTTTTTTTTTTTTTTTTTTTTCTGCCAAAATCGCATTTCCACCTGAAATAATTGTATTCAGGTTTTCCCAGCAGGTAAAGATACATTTTTACAAGGTTTCAAATTTCAGAATTCCAATAATGCATTCAAACTGAGCACCCACCCGACTTACGTTCCTGTGTGTGTGTGTGTGTGTGTGTGTGTGTCTTGAGGTTCTATTATGTACACTGAATTTTAGTTGTTTTTTTGTGTGTTTTTTAGTCTCCTCAGAAATACCTTAGTGAACCCTGAGCATTTGCTAACCACTTAATAATCGTGAACCGGCCAGTCCCTTCAAGGGATCGTTAACCACAAAAGTGCCTGACAATTTCCAAATCATACCCTCTTGTCCAGAAGGAAAAGATAGGGCTTTGTGAGGCCGAAAGGAAGCGAAGGAAAACAAAACAAATGTAGCTCATGCTGAAAGTGAAAAGTGCTTGGACAGATTAGTATTTTCTTTTCTGCAAGGCGCCCTGCCAAACTTTTTTTTTCTTTTCTTTTCTTTTTTAAATAGAGAAGAATTATTTTTTTCGGTCTGATTTCCCAGTTTCTTGGAAAGTGTGGGTCTTTACCATCCCCACGGGCCCCTCATAATCACGGTTGACGGTTTTGTGTCTACCTCTCCGATCGCGGGGACCCCCTCCTCCCTCTGTCCAAACCCCAACTCCGGGGGCGACCCTGGGCGTGGAAATCCCGCCGACTCCCGACGACACGTCCCCCTCGCGCTTCTCATTTTCAGTCGCAAGATTCTCCCACCGCCGTTGCAGCGCAAGCCGGAAATTTTCATTTACCCCTCACCCCCCTCCCCGCCTCGCCCCCCACTTGGAGCCCCGCGCGGGGGAGCCGGGAGGCTGGGCGCACCGCCGGGCGCTCCGGAAGGCTTTCATTTGCACACTCGCCGGCCGCGGCGCCGCGAGCCCCCAGCCCCGCGCCCGCCCGGTGGGTCCGGGCAGCGCCGGCCTCCCGCCCCCGCCCCCGCCCCGCCGCCGCCTCCCCAGCCCGGGCCCCGCGCGCCGGCCGGAGCCCCGCGGCTCCCGTCCACCCCCTGCGAGCCAAGCGGGCGGGCGGCGCCCTCCGCCGTCCCTCCGCCCGCCTCCGCCGCAGTGCCCACCCCCTCGCCGCCCGCGAGCTGGTGACTCCTTCCTCCGGCCGGTTACCTGCTCCGCGCCGCCGCCGCCGACACGTGCGGAGGGCGCCTGACACCGCGGCCCCCTCGGCAGGCCGGACGCGGCCGGGTCGCCCAGGTGAGGGTCTGGGCGCCCGGGTGGGTGGGCTGCGGGGCGGGAGGGGGAGGGTGGGGGGGCCCCGGGGAAGGTCCGCGCCCGTGGCTGAGGGGTCGGAAGTGAGGGTGTGGGGGTGACTGTTGGGGTGGAGGGTATGTCCTCGGGATCCTCTCCGATTAACCCTTCGCGCGCCGGGGCGGGGTAGTTACGGGGTCCCGTCTGGGGGAGCTAGAGGAGTCTCTCTCTCCCGATCGGACTGGAAGAGGAGGACATCACACACTTAGGGGACACCCAACCCGAAACCCGGCGCCCGCTCCCACACGGCCGTGCGCGCAAGCACCAACACCCCTGATGCAGGGTTTGCAAACGGAATTTAAACTCCACAAGGACGGCCCTACCAGAACCCACACGTAGAGGGTGCGAAATGCCCCGCCTCCGGGGGACTCTGTGCGGGAGAGTGTGTGTCCGTGCCCCGCAGTGGATTTCCCACGAAAGCTTCCCTCTCCGGCTCGCCCACCGCGAGGTGAATTGCGAGCGCAGCCCCCCCCCCCGCCGCCGCCGGCAGCCCCCGCGGGGGAGGTGCGCGCCCCGGAGGGAGCGCATGCAGGCTGCCCGGCGCCCAGGCTTTGGAGCCCCGCGTGGACTCGGGGCAGGTTTGCTTTAGTTTTTCCCCAGTGTCCTTGTTTCAGAATTTCACCTATCTGTCGGGATATGGCAAACGCACACCCCGCGGGGAGCAGCCCGCCCGCCGGCCCGCGCGCACGTGGGCGCCTCTGCGCCGAGCGCTCCCGCGGGAGCCGGGGCCCCGGGGCGGCCTCCCGGCGCTGCGCCGGCGGCGACCCTCGCGGGAGCGGCTCGGCGGGCTCGGGGAGAGGGAGGCACACGGAGGGTTTCATTGAGTGCGAAGACAGAGCGCAGAGACAGAAAGCAGAAGGAGGCGGCTGCAGCCTTTGTAGTCGCGGAGGAATGCGGAAATGTGGAAGCACGATGTCAAACTTTTTGAAATGGGGTCAAGTCACATTCAGCCAGCGTGGGAAAGCAACAACAACAACAGAAAAAGAAAAAGGAGAAAAAAAAAAAAAAGTGGAGGAGGGGGAGGCGGGGGGCGAAGGCGCTGGTGCTCCCGGTTTCTCCCCGCCCGGAGCCGATGGGCTGGGGAGCGAGGAGGGGCGGCCGGGCCGGGCCCGGCGGTGCGGGGCCGGGCGGGGGCGGCGGGCGCAGTGGGCGCAGTTCCCTGCGGGGGTGGGACGTCCGCGCCGCTTCCTTGGCCGCGGAGCCCGGGCCGGAGGGGCGGGGAGGGGGTTGGGGGGCGGAGATGGGGGGGTGGGGACACGGGAGGGCGGGGATGGGGCTGGGGGGCGGGGATGGGGCTGGGGGGGTGGGGACACGGGAGGGAGGGCGGGCGGGCTGCGCTGCGCTGCGCTGCCGGCGGCGGCTCCTCGGCTACCTGTGTGGCCCTCGGCCTGGCTCGGGTCCTCGGCGGGCGGCGGGGGCTGGCTCCTCGGCTCCCCCCGGACTCCCCGCCCCCCTCTAAGAGGAGTCGGAGCGGCGTAAGCGGGAGAGCCCCCCCCCCCCCCCCGCGGCCGTCCCCTCTGCCCGCCCGCAGCGGGGGTCGCGCCGTTCGTTGGGCTCACTCCTGGAGGAAGGCGGCGGCCGCTGTGCGGGGCAGGTAACTCCCCGGTGGCCGGGGGCGCGGGCGCGCGGCCGGCGCGGCGAGCCTCCCGCCGGGGCTGCGGCGGCCGCGGGGGCAGGTTTCTTGGGAACTGAATTGCAAAATGAATGGGGAGGGGAGGTGACCTCCCCCCCCCCCCCGACACACACACACACACACACACACACAGCACCCTACACTTTGTTGCGGAGGACGGGGGTGGGGGGGGGTGGGGACGGGGGTGACTGGCTGCAGAAGGCACCAGGCCTTCAGCCGAAAGGGGAATGGAAACCTCGGTGCAGACATCGGAGACGATCCCGGGAGCCGGGAAGAGCCCCGGCGCCGCGAGAGTGGAGCCTCTTCTCTCTCTCACACCCCCCCCCCTCTCCCCCGAGGCTCAGCCTTGTCTCCCCGCACCCCACCCCCACCCTTCTTCCTGGGGAAATTGAGTTTTCCTCGGGTGTTGGAACCGGTTGGACATCTCAGGGCGGGTTACAGTGTGTTACCTTTCTCCTTCAAGTTATTCTTTAAAGAGATGAGCTAAAATGTGGCGAACTAACACCCTTTCTCCCACATTGGGAGTCCCGTGGGCGACTCCCTCGACCTAGGACCCCACCGTCCACCCCCCCCCCACTCCCCACCCCTTCCCTGCGCATAGCGGGAACCCCCACCTCTGCCGGCCTGATGGGTTTCCACCAGGGAGGTCCTCCCGCGTTGGCGAAGGAAGAGTGCCATTCCCAGCCCCAGACTCCTTTCGCCCCCCCTCCCCAAAAGACCATTTGTGATGCAAGTCGTTTTTTAAAAGATGTTTCCTGGTAAGAAAAACTGAAAGTAGAAAGAAAGGAAGCAATTTTCGAGCAGATGTCTGACCACCCCTTCTCGCAACACTCCCCCAAGCATCGAGTTACAGGGTCCTGGGAGCCCTCCACCCACCCTCCGCGGCCCCACACGGGCGGGCGGACCCTCAGCCCCTCCGCAGCAGCGTGTGCGCGACCCCTGAACCTGCCCCGCACCCCGGGGCCCCTCTCCCCGCGCGTCCCACACAACACCACGATCCGGGGATACATAGAAGCCGTGACATTGACGCCCCGGCGCCTCCCGGCTCCCGGCTCGCCCCGGGCCCGGCACGCCCCCCCCCCCCCCCCCCGCTCCTGCGCCCCGCGCCGCGCTCATCCCCGAGGGGCCCCTGCCTCGCCGCGCCGCGCCGGCCCGGCCCTCCGGGAAAGAAAAGTAACTTGGCTTTTCTCTCGGAAGAACCCGCCAGGCAGATTCATTCTCCGGGGGAGAAGGCAGGAGCGCGCGGAGGGTAGCGACGGGGGCTTGGTGCAGGAGGAGGAGGAGAGGAGCCTGCAGGAACCCGGAGGACGGCGCTTGGGATGTCTGACTGCGCTTTCCTCATATCCCCCATCTCTCCTTTTAGGTGGAGCGATCGCGGACGGAGACGCGCCCCGGCGGAGACTATGTGCACGGCCCGGCGTCTGTAACGGCGGCGGAGCGCGCTTCGGGGAGGAGGGATCGGCCGGCTCCTCTGCGCCCCGGCGGCAGGCGGAGTTTCGCGGCGGCGGCACCAAGTGTCGCGCCCGCCCGCCCGCGGGGAGGTCGCTCCATCCAGCCCCGCCGGCCGCCAGAGCCCGAGCGCTCCGGGTGAGGGGGAGCCAGAGCCAGCCCCGGGGCGCCGGGCAGCCGGCCGGGGGGTCCCGGAGAGGGCGAGCGGCGGTCGCGAACCGGCGGAGCGCGCGGCAGCGGCGCGGCGCGCGGGCGGCATGGAGAAGGACGGGCTGAGCCGCGCGGACCAGCAGTACGAGTGCGTGGCGGAGATCGGGGAGGGCGCCTACGGGAAGGTGTTCAAGGCCCGGGACCTCAAGAACGGAGGCCGTTTCGTGGCGCTGAAGCGCGTGCGGGTGCAGACGGGCGAGGAGGGCATGCCGCTCTCCACCATCCGCGAGGTGGCGGTGCTGAGGCACCTGGAGACCTTCGAGCACCCCAACGTGGTCAGGTGAGCCCGGGGAACCCTGCCCGCGCCGTCGGGGGTGGCCCGCACCCGCAAAGTGCTGGGCCGGGAGGGCTCCCAAAGGGCCTGGGAGGAGGGGACCCGTTGGCCTTACAGAGAAAGTCTTGTTGACAGAGCCACGAACCGGGGGGAGCCTGTGACCTTGCCAGACAAGCGAGCAGAAAGACACATCAGAACATGGGACCTCTAGGCAGGCTTCCCTCCCTGCGGGCCCCAAAGGGGTCTGGGGAGTTGGGTGCCCTTTAGGCACAGAACAAGCCAACCTGGGACACGCCCTGCCAGCCCGCCCCCCTGACCCCAGCCCCCAGTAGTCCCCAGGCCATTGGGGAAATTTTGAAAGACTGAGTGTGAGGTAGCAGGATGCAGTGATAATTGGAAGGAAGAGAAATTGACTGATATATATACATAAGGTTAAAAAAATGCAGAAACAATACTTTTGCCAGTCACAGCCAGGGTTTCTCTTTATGGAAGAGATAATGATGGTCTAAGCACTAACGTGCTGATGCCCATTTTCCAGCAGTGTTCTTTTAAGTATTCTAGAAATATTGCCTGGTGTCTCTGGGCCAACATAGTCTTTGGATTACTTCTCCAGCGGGGTAGATATGAGTCCAAGATATGGAACCTTCGATTCTAAATTATGAATTCTGCCTTTGCCTTTTTCTGGAGGGTTATGCAGTGGGTGGGGAGACAAAAGTTCTTGAAGTCACTCCTGTGTGGAAATCGGTGGTAAAGTGTGTGTGTGTGTACGCGCCTTAGGATAATGGTGTTTTCTTAGTGATCCTGGAATTTCCTCATTGTGTGGTTGACACTGCGTGATGTGTTTGTTCTCTTTTTATTTTCTAAACAGATGAATAGTTTGAAGTCGGAAAGAAAAGCATGCCCAGAATCGTCTACCAATTAGGGCGTGCTTTTACCTTCCCTCATCTCTTGGGATAATGTGTTGGAAAGAGGCGTTGGGGTCTTCTTCCTGACTTCTCATCCATCTAGGGATTCTGTTCAACAACTATGTGCCTACTGTGTGCGCTGTGGATGGAAATATGTAAATAAGGACAGCTAAATATTTTTGTAACGAGTCAAACAATTTAACATTAGTCATCAAAGCGGAGAGACCCAAGACTGACCTTTGAAATACCAAGCTCTCTACAGACTCAGGGAACCCAAGGGTGTACAGTCGCATCCTGGGAGGTTTTAACTTGTCTCCTCTTATTCCAGGCTGGTGATTTGTGTGGCACTTTGTTCCTGACCCAGTTAGACTCGGGGCAGAAGAATCATAAATACATAAATAAGGTAGTAAATGGCTGTAAAGATAAGGGCCCCATTATTCCTCCACTTTCACAGTAAAGCGGGAGAGGGACAAAAGATAATGAGATTGGGAGAACTGTGTTTTAGGAAGATGGGATCACATATAAAAGCAGTAGGTTGCCTTTTGTGTGTGTGTGTGTGTGTGTGTGTGTGTGTGTGTGTGTGTGTTTTCTTTCTTGAAAAACCCTTTTGGGGGGAGTCTTTGCAATCATGGAGAGGAAAACGAGGGTGCGTTTTGTCCCCTGTAACTTAGTTATCTTCCTAGAGGAATCACCTAGGTGTTTCCCAAAGGATGATCCCACCCCTAGAATTGTAGGACTAAAATTCGTGTTTTGTTTTGTTTGTTGGAGAGTGCCCAATCAAGGACGATCATCGTGTGTAAATTGGATGCTGTCCTTCCGATGTAGAAGTGTTATCGAGGCACCCCTATGCCACGCTATTTTGTACAAAGCACAGGCTATTCTTGTGACAGAGGAAGGTTGTTTTGGCCATTTGTGCTAGTTCTCAGTGGCTGGCAAACTGCGGCTCAAGAGCCACATTGCGGCTCTTTAGCCCCTTGAGTGTGGCTCTCCCACAAAATACCACGAGCACGTACAGTGCGATGGAAACTTCGTGGCCCATAAGTAGAAGTCCGTTTTCGGCTCTCAAACGAAATTTTAATCATTGTGCTGTTGATCTTTGGCTCTGTTGACTAATGAGTTTGCCAACCACTGTGCTAGTTGATTTGGGCAGGTGTGTGTTCTCTAGATGTAGCCTCCTGAGCTTGGTGTGTCCTCAGAGATCTGTAACCGTTCCATGACTTAGATTCTGTACGGAGCACTTAAAGGAAGCTATACTGAGACAGGGGTCGTTTTCTGAAATTATCTTTACATGTCAAGTTTCTTCCTATAAGCAGTAAGGAGAAGCTGAGGCAGTGTCTGTGAGGGCACTTTGTCCATTTAGAAGTGTTTCGGAGGTCCAAGTATTATTTGTCTCAGGCAGATTCGTGGGCCCTTGTCGTAAGGAAGGCATCAGTTCGCCTGACTTGTACTCTAGGACAAATCATATTTAAGCCCAGTCATTTTCAGCTCTGGACCCATGAAGCTGCTTGAATATAATGAGCCTGTAGTTTGTCAGAAACGCCCATCAGTCATATGCCATGAAGTTCCGGTGGCACTTGAGAAAATTATTGATGATATCATCCTCACAAGCTGCAGACCTACATTCCAGTTTGCTTCCTTCCCGTTTCTTCGCTTCCGCCCCTGCCTTGGGGCAGTCTTTGGCCCCCGTGACTTATGTGGCTAGGCCAGGGTTCTGGACTTCAGAGGTTGCTGATATTTGCAGGGTCAGGAAATCGAGAACAGGTGACTGTAATTCTTTTCCTTCCCAGGTAGAGTTGTCAAAGTTGAGCTCCCAAACCAGTGATTTATTGTCTGCCCCACAGGATTGTTGCTGGTTCTTTAAAGGTTTCTTAAAAGGGCAGATGCCTTTATAAGTGCCTTCAAGTCACAAGTAATTTATCATAATTATAGGCCCTTCCCACAGATAGTTAAGCCTCTAAGCTTGAAGGAGCATAAAATAAACATATTAGCTTTTTTCCCCCCAAAATGTTTAACGTTTAATTTTGATGGGTTTGCCAGAAGAGTTGACTTATTGTTGGCACTGGCACTGCCTACATGTGTGGGGATAATGACTTGAAATTCTTGCTTACTTGCAGTGATGTAGCCAAAGCTTGATCATTCTGGGATGTAAAGTTACCCTCACTTTATGGTTGGTAATCCCAAATCCTAGAGCCTTTGCCATAATCAGACTTCCGTATAAACCTATACTGGAGCTTTGCACGCTACAAATGAATTCTGTTGACATTCTGAACTAAATATATACAAGCAGGTAGGATAATATGGCTTATCAGCAATAAATTCACCAAGTATTTATTGAGGGCCTACTATGAACAGGATGCTTCTACCGTGTTTCCCCGAAAATAAGACATCCCCTGAAAATAAGACCTAGATCATGGAAAGATAAGAAATCCCCTGAAAATAAGACCTACCGCAACTTTGGGAGAAAAAAATTAATATAAGACACTGTCTTATTTTCGAGGAAACGGTAGAAGCTGGGGATCCAGCAGCAAACAAGTTAGAAAAAGTCTAAGAGAAGTTCTTTTTCTTTTTAAAAATCCACTGTATCTTTATTTCCATTGGCTTGCTTTGCTATATTTAACCTAACCAATAGAGCAACTAATTTTTTTTTGTGTGTGATAATTTGGTTACCAGGAGTTTGCTGATTGAATAGGTAAGATAACCAAAACACTAATCAGAATCAAATGCTTCTTGAAGATTAAATTTCATCTTAGAGACATACAAACTGATCAATGTAAGAAGACATTGACGCATGAACAATATAGATGATGAACATTTGAGCTCTCTTTATTCAATGAAGATTTAGGAAGAGCCTACTGTTTAAAAACCATGGGCTCAGTGCTGGGAAATATACTTGAATAAATCGCACCTGGCACCTCTCCTGCAGTAAGTCCCTGTGGTTGAAGGAATAAGATGATCACATAACCCTGATACGTGATAGTATTGGGTCCATACAGAGACCCATGCTACCAGTGTTGTCCTTAGGGATCCAAGTTATTAGTGTAGCAGTAAAAGCAATTCAAATCGAAGTCCTGGTTCTAGAAACCAAAACTCATGGCATTTCAGGGAATAAACTTGTGGCATCTAAATAAGTTCAGTTATTTTTGTCAGCATATTTAATCAACGCTTTAAATAAAAAGCCAACAGAGGAACTTCTCTTGCACGTGGGTCTCTGACTCTCTCGTGTGTGGGGTTCCCATACATTATGTGTGTATTAATTTTGGTTATTTTCTCTTGTTAGAAATAAGTAAGTAATAAAGCCAATAGAAAAATCCATGCAGCTCAATAATTATTATTCAAGGAGGGTTTTCCAACTTTCTCTCTTTCAAAATTCTTTATTGTTTAAAGTATTGCATGAGTCTTCTTTCCCCCCATGGACCTCTCCCCTGAACCCCATCCCCCAAGCACAAGCCCTCACTCCCCCTACTGTGTGAGTCCATTGGTTTTGCTCAGGTGCAAACAAGTCCTTTGCTTGATCTATTACTCCTTCCCCCCACCCCCACTCCCACCTTTCCTCATAGGTTGTACAGTCTGTTCAATGCTTCTATGTCTCTGGTTCTACTTTTTATATATATATATATTTTAAATTGATTTTTTACAGAGAGGAAGGGAGATAGAGAGTTAGAAATGTCGATGAGAGAGAAACACCAACCAGCTGCCTCTTGTGCACCCCCTACCAGGGATGTGCCTGCAACCAACGTACATGCCCCTGACTGGAATCGAACCTGGGACCTTTCAGTCTGCAGACCGATGCTCTCTCTACCTCTGAGCCAAACCGGTTTCAGCTCTGGTTCTATTTTTGTTCATCAATTTATGTTTTCATTATATTCCACAAATGAATGAGATCATGGATATTTATCTTTCTCTGACTGGCTTATTTCGCTTAGCATAATGCTCTCTAGTTCATCCATGCTGTTGCAAATGGTAAGAATTCCTTCTTTTTTTTACAGCAGTTCATACCAACTTTCTCTTTTTAAAGATCTCAATAATATGTATCATTAAAAAAAGAATTTAAAAAATGTGATATTCTCAAGGAAAACCTAGTCATTAAAAGGGTCGAAGACA